AAATATTGAGTAAGTATGAAAAATAGTTTTTCGGAATAATCATTTTCTCAAGATAATTTTTAGCGACTTTTATTTCTTAAAAATCAAATAAGAAAACTTGGTTTTATGGGATTTTAGTATGAAGTATATATTGACTTAATGAGCCATCATTTTTAGCCTAAATAGTATTTTGCACTAAAACCAATTTTTTATATTTTGATTACGTGAGAATTTGATTTTTTATTATTTTTATTTAAATCCAAATATAGGATACTTCCTTATTTACATTGTAAACTTAAATAAATATTAATAGGGTACTTCTTTGTCATTTTACTTTCATTTATTAACATTTACTTTAATATTGAAAATGAAAATAAGGCAATTTATACACCTAGAGTGCACCACCATCAGTTGAGCAAATGAGTAATTTATATTACCTCCTTGTGCCTTAATAAGTCCACCACAACACATATAAATACATATTAAAACGTAAAATATGTGAAATAATATACATATAAAAATACATAACAATGTCAATAAATTACTTTTAAAATATAAAAAAAAATTGAGTGGAGGCCGGGACCACATTGTTCCCAGTGTGGCTCCGCCCCTGGCAATGATGGCTCTAGACAGAAGGCCATGTTTGAACTTCTCACCATTACTTACGTAATTGGTTTGTTGTACAATTTGACTAACGTTGATGTGATGATCCCCACTTTTCATTCATATTCAAATTCCTCTCGCCCTAATTTAGATTAAATTAAAATAAAATATCGTTTGTGTTGTATTAAAAATATTTAAAATAATATTTTCTTTCGATTCATATAGTAAGAAAATTGTGTGTTACATAGATATAATATTGTTATAATGTCAGATGATTGAATGAGCTGAAGCAACCCAATTGGTGAGACTTGTCAACCTGCTGCGCACATATTTTTGAGTTCTAATCTGACCTAGAAATTTAAAAGAGGAAAATGTTTCACGCTATGACTTGCGTTGCGATCGATATTAGCACAATTCTATCAAAATTCATCACTGACACAGAATGTGTTGGGGTTATTGACAAGTAATGGATGCATGGCGTAAATTAATATCAGTCATTGATGAATGTGAATTTCAGTAGGAATTTCATATTAATTGAGATTGCGTTTTCTTTTCTCTTCGAAAACAAGAACACAAAAATTTGCGAGAAAAGAAAGAGAGATTTTCTTTTGTTTAGACTTAGTATTTAATATTATTTGTAATCAGGCTGCCCAACGAAGACATGTCACGGTATACATTCCTAATTAGATAAGAATCTAGTATGATTAGTATGTAAGAAAACCAATTTAGCCAAGTTAACCACCGCTTTAATTTTGTTTTAGGAAGTCCAATTTGCATATGACTTCGGTGTTTCTTGTCCTAACCCTACAAGGGTTTGTGTTTGTGTCTGATATATAATCACACGTACGTACATTCCTCTTTTATTTTGCATGCTGGTGTCGGCTGTTCCAAGTCTTTGGGGAAGTCTTCTGGTTTCAGTTTTTCTTTTTCTTTTTTTGAGTTGTGAAGAACTGGAATTCATAAAACCAGAGCGCAAATAACACTCCAAACTTACGAGAAAACCAGTATCCAACTTGAAAGGACTACCAGCAAAAGGCGAATTGGAAAGCAAAAACGACGTCGCGTTAGGAAGCAGAGCACCTCATCAGGCTGTCCAACTCTGTTCAGGAAGCTTATTTAAGCTTATTTCCACCGCAATAATTTGAGGTTTCTCTCTACCTCCCTGTTTTTGGCTTTCTTTTTAGTTTAATATATTCTTGAGTTTGCCAAATTTAAGGTTTTTTTTTTCCTTTTTACAAACATAGGGAGGCTTTAATTTGTTCTATTGGATAACTAGAATGTTCTTGTTATCAGGCATCAATGGCGCCTCTCACAAGGTCAATGAAGAAGAAAGCAGCAAACAGCAAGAGTCGCATCATGCAATCTCTTCCGAATGAGCTTTTGGTAGAAGTTCTTGCAAAGGTGGCTTCGAATTCTTTCAACGATCTCTACTCGGCAAAGTTAAGCTGCAAGGACTTCAACAAAATGGCTAAAGAAGACAACATATTCCAACGCGTTGACATGAGCAAATTCCCATTGGTTTCTTGGAGGTTTGACGACAAATTCTCCAAGTTTCTGAAACACTGCAAAAGGTGCGGCAACGAGGAGGCCTTGTACCGACAAGGGCTTCGCGATATTTTCAGAGGCAAGAGGGTGCAACAAGGAATCACGTGTCTGAAGAAAGCAGCCTCGAAGGGTCATGTCGAAGCGACGTATGTTTACGGCGCCATATTGGTGTGTTTCGGGGGAGAGTCAAAGCAGGAAGGCCTGGAGCTTCTGTATTCTCTCAATCATTACAAACCGAAAGGATTCAGCGTAAGAGAATGCAGGGAGAGGGTTAAAGGACTTGTTCGGAACATGTGGGCTGACAGGAAGGTGGTGGGTAAAATTGTACAAGCCCGCCATGAGACTGCCATTGCGAAAACATGCAGCGACTGTGGAAATAGACAGGAGGTTTTCACAGTCGAGCGAGGATGGGATCCTCTTGATCATGAAAATTTCAGCAGCTGCAATACCTGCAGGTGGCATCAAGAAGTAAATATTTTCCGTGATATATTAAACGACAGTTGTACCCCTCTGTATTGAATGGATTGATGCGTATAGATAGGATGCGTAAGGGCAACATTTGATGTGTATCCACACGAGTTTCTCTTTTGCAAGCTAATGTTTTTTGTAAGGGCAACATTTGCCCACATGGCATTCTAAATTATTGGGGATATATTGTAAACTTAAGATAATCGGTTAGCTCATCTGCAAGCTATTCGATCAATTTAAAACTCACCAACGTTTGA